AAATATAGCGGCTATTATGTATCTTAATTATTTATCCACTTGCGGCAACACTCTTCATGTTATGAATGAAATGAGAATTTTTCTTATTCTTTGCTTTTATCTTCATGTGTTTATGTTATAAACTCTCGCTGTGTATATAGAACTCGAAGCTATGTATTAGACGGCGAGTCGCTTTGAGTAGAAATTGAAATAAATAGAAAAGATCATATTTATGTGTTTAAGATTATTAAATTACTATGAATGAATGAATGAATGGATAATCATATAATTTTCTTCATTTAATTTTGTAAATTTACAATCACAGTAGCTTCTAGCTGTTTCCAGGGGCTCATGAAATATAATGTGTATAATTTTGTTGAACAAATTCTGATTTAAAGTGAGTGGATCGAAGTGTAATAATGACACAATGGTTAACCACTTTATCAACCACAGACAATGCTTATTGTAGCACCTGAAATGAATGTTCTGGATGAGTTTTTATGCTGATTAGTTATTTCTATTTTAATATTCAACATATCTAGTGGACTTTAATGTTTTTGAAATGTTTTGCCGGTTCTTTTTAAGTTCATGGTCATTGTTCACTGGAATGCTATTCTAAGGAGTAGCCAAGAATATTGAAGGGTGCCAATAGTACTTCGACTGCTTAATGTACGAGATCAAGCCATAATTGGGCATTTTGGGCAACGTTAGATTAAAGAGCGGATCAGGAACTTGAAGTATCCTGCGGGAGAAATAGAAACGAGAGTTTCAAGATTACCTTATAATAGAATATTGTCAGAACAGACTTGAATTCCGTCACGCCAACACAAGATTGAAACGAGAGCCTGTATTTAATCGAAACCTAGATTTGAAGATTGGAAACTTGATTTTCCATGACCATTGTGATATGAAATGGTCACTAATCAATGTAAAAAGTAAACATGTATAAATACGAATTCTTTAGGACGCTAACCTCGACAAATTAATAAACTATATTGAAAAAGGAGCTAAAAGATCCACCCTTAAACTTAAAGATCGAATAAAAAGCCGATTATCAAGTAACTTTATATCATTTATTTCAGGAAGCTGATATTGCTACAGTTTTTCGTGCAAATCGCTTGAGATAGGATGGACATGTGTTCAGACGCTCACAAGATGCCCCAGTATTAAAAGTGACAGTAGCAGACCTTATGGATGGCAAGAGATCAAGAGGAAGATTGAAGAACTTGTGGATTGGATGTGTTGAAAAGGACGCTAGAGTCCTTAATATCTTCTCTAAGTGTGGAAATGGGCCCACGTGCGCCCCAGCCAAGGAAATAGTAAGCAGTATCAAGATCATTGAAATAAGAGGGGAGGGGGGGGGGGGGGGGGGGGGTGTTCATTGTAAAATATTTAAATTCAATTCTTCTTCTGTTAAACCACTATAAAGTAAATTTATCTAAGATTATGGTCGAGTTGCTCCAAAAAACCACCCTAGAATATTACAGCAAATGAGTGAATGTTACATACCTATGGATTCGACAATGATTCAGATTTGGAAGAAATGTTCAAAAATTCAAAAATAATATATTAATTAAACTACATCTTTTAAATGCAAGATTAAAGATCTTAACTTAAGGCATATTCAGTGGAAATATCTCGTTTCAATTTGATGTCTAACTCCAGAAATCTTTAATTTATTTTCAACAAAAATTTGTTTACATTTTGTATATGAAAAAAAAACTTCGATTTTCTCTACTTTAAGTTGTTATTTCCTTATCTTGCCAACTGTTGTTAGCTAAATTAAGCTTAGATCTGCATATTAAAACTACCAAATCAAAAGAAAACTACTGATTAAGTCTTAAAAATGCAATTGAAATCTGAGTATTTTTACAAAACTTAAACTATTCAAAATTAAAAAAGTCTTCCAAAGACCTCTCTGAAACCTATACAAATCAATTGATTAAGCTTAAATCTATGTCCCATATTACTGAGGACATGCCGTTTGATGCCGTTTTCGAGATATTTGCGATCAAAGTCTACATAAATTTTCATACAAAATTTGATCATGCACAATACACTGGTGGAAATTGAAATGAGACACTTTAGAAAAATTTACAAAAATCTTCCTCAATTTTGACTTTGACTATACATATTATATATAGACTTGTAGATTTTTACTTTCTTAACAATACTAGAGCATTCTAAAAATTTTTGGAACTTCCAGTCATCTAATATCCCCAAGAGAAAGTAGTAAAAGCCAAGTTTTTTGTTTTCATCAAATATTTTTATGAATAATCATCTATTAATAACAAATGAAATCAAAATATGTAGATTTTTAAATGCTCTTTCAGATAAAGAATTGATATTTACCTCAACATAAGCTTAAATGACAACAATTAATTAAAATGATTCTTACGAGTGAGTACCGATATGAAAAAATTAATTTAAATTTAATTTCAAATTTTAGAATGCTCTAGTATTGTTAAGAAAGTAAAAATCTACAAGTCTATATACAATATGTATAGTCAAAGTCAAAATTGAGGAAGATTTTTGTAAATTTTTCTAAAGTGTCTCATTTCAATTTCCACCAGTGTATTTTTTAATAAACCTTTATAAACTTTTGGTAAAAAATCATGTTTATCCTTTATATAAAGGACAGATTTTTTGAACAATGAACGAAAACATTATGTAGAAGATGCTAAAAGAATCAAATCAAGAGAATTTTTGAACATTTTTTCCGAATCTGAATCATTGTGGATTCTTGTGTCAATCGATATCGTTCTTAATTAAACTATGAATGTGATCCTTAGACATTTTCATTAGAATATTGATCAACACTGCAGTTCACACTTTCACAAAAAGAAAAGGAAAACTTCAATTAATAAAACCAAAAAAAAAAAATCTTAAAATTATAAATTCTAAATTTTTTAGACTTCTTAGACTTCTTTAGACATGAAGCCTGACTTTTTGTTTATTAATGTGATTATTATAATTATTATTTTTACATACATAGGCGTTCATTCATTAATTCTTCTCATTGTTATTGTTGGATTATGTTAAGCCGATACGAAACGCTCGAATGCATTCCACAGATAATATAGAATTTCCTTTATGATGCGCATATTTATGTTTCATTCTAGAGATGAAAGCAAATAATACTTTGAATGATTCCCATTTAATATAAGTTAAGTGAATAATATTTCAAAAGAATATGGTAAATATTTATAGTGCTGTTGAATGAATTATGCTTGATTTAAGTTATTGATGACTTTCTCTGTAATTTCGTACGTATTTTCTGATAATTTCTCAACAATATTGTAGTGATCAAGACCTTCCATTAAATGGTAATTTGCTTGCAATTTTGCCTGCTTTAAATGAGCAACAAATTCTCTCGATTGCTTTTGAAATGCTGGTGATTCATCACTTCCAACAAAAGCATCAACTACTATGTCGTATTTACTCAAATGTTTAAAGTCTAATTTTACAGGCGATAATTGTACAACATTTTCGTCCGTAATTGAAAGTAAGTTTTCACGATTAAGAATCTCCGTATTTCTCAATTCACTAACGTCATAGACACCAGAAATCAAATAGACATGCTTCAAAAGTTTAAATTTATCACCAAGACGTGATATCATGTCTTCACTCAACGAGTATGTAATCAAATGAGCACCAGAATCATGTCCAATAAATGAAACACTTTTTGGGTTGTGCTCCCCAGCATAGCTGAATATACGTTCAACAGCCTTTTCAAATTGCTTTACAACTTCCGATAAAGTCACATTTGGGCACAAGTCAAAATCAATTACAATAACTTTTGCATGATCTTCAACAAATGGCTTTACAGCATATGATGCCGTGTGCTTGTTTGACCTCTGCCAAAATCCACCATGAACATACACAATAATTGGTGCATCAAATGGCAAATTAACACCATAAATGTCCAATTGTTGACGGAATGTTTCTCCATATTGGGTATTTAGCAAGCAATTGACTGCGTATCGATTTGCTTCCGAGACTAAAAATGTTTTTATGGAAAACAATTGAAATTTTACAAATTTTTATGCAAACTGTCGGCAAACTTGTCACCTGTATTGGAATAATCGTCGTGGGCTTGTAACAATTCCACTGGATCTGTTATTCTTTGCGACCATTGAGTCGTATCGTACTCTTTTTCTAAATCACGTGATGACATTTTTTTGTTATTCTTCTTTCTTGTGGGAGATAAAATTATGTGCTTATTATGAACTGCTGCTTGTGCTGCCTTGACTATGACTGTTGTGTTTTTGTCTGTTTATAACAATTATATTAGGAATTTGTTGTTTTTTGATAATTTTTTATCTCTCGGACTAAGCATGTAGTTGTACGATTTTTGGAACTTCTCAGTTCTCTCAAATTTTAAGTACAATGCGGTAATCTCAGCTGAGCTTGTGATTTAAATTTTTTTTATTTGATAGTATAATGAGGTTTTCTGATGTCCAGATTTTTGATCAATACTATCTCAAGTAGATTTAAATAGTAAATTTTAGTATCACGAAGTCTATCGATCTATCAAAAAAAAATATTTATAGAACACTGTAAACACGGAATTACAGTTGAAAACATCTAGCGTGTGTCTACTTGCCAACGATATTGTATTATTTGTTTGTATTCTAAGAGATAAAATGCGAAAAAAAGGCACATACCTAAAATATTTCATATTTAGCAGGGAGAAGCTCTAAGGGAAGCTAATAGGAAGCTATTTAATAATTAAAATTAACCACTTCTGTACGAATGGTGTTTACTACCCCCACCACTCTTAACTATACATTTCCAAATTAAACAATTAAAATGGATCAGAAACATTATAAGCAGAAAAATTCAAAAATCCTAGCATGTTGTCCCTAGAAATACAGTTCATATGAGTCAGCCAGACAAACCTTGTAACATCAAAATCACTTTTTAATACCTTCAATAAAAACAGCGCGTGTTAAAATACACCAAATCCTTATTTTGACAAGATCTTATCAATTTAAAATCCAGTAGTAAAAATACATGATTTATTATCAAACATATGATCCATATTTTTATTTTAGTTTTTATCTTGCAATCGTGCAAACGTCAATACATGTTTTTTGTTTTCTTTTATTGATATACTCGAGTGATGTGAGGTGTTTCTTTTTTTGTTCCTAATATTGCCTTAAAATCTCATAATAATGGGAATAAAATAATTATAAAAATCATACTGTATATTCGTCTTAAATTTTCATATAAGTTGTTCCAGTGGATGTATAATTTGGAGGAGGATTATGACGAATTGTGAGCCTCTGATATTCTTCAGCATCTCTCATCAGTGCAAACAATGAGTAAACACACATAAAGCAATAGAAATTGAAGACTGAAAATGATAAGAAAAAAAATTAATTATTCATTGCCATGAATAATAAGAGGATTATGAATAAATATTATTAATAATAGAGAATGGAAAGTTCCAAGTGAAACTCATATATAAATCAGTCAGACAGCCTAAGGAAGTTAGTATACTTCAACTGATTTTGAAAATTCAAAAAATAACGGATTCGAAAAATTCAAATTTTATGCTTTTAAGTAAAAAATTCAAATTTTAAAAAATCTGTTGAAAACTTTAAAGTACTTACACAATCCAAATGCTCCGAAGATCATGCAGAAAATTGATATTGTTATAGTGGATGTTGATGTGAAGAAGTAAAGGCTTATAAACATCCAAATTGCTGTATAATAAACTAATTGAATTGATCTTCCTAGCATCCATGGAACTAAGAACAACCTCTTGCTATATGCAGCTCCATGAACGAGAAATAGTGATGCTAAAGCCTCTATGACATAAAATCCAATCAGCATTGATATTATGAAAATTGCTGCATTATGCATAAATTCGATATCTTCTGGTGTAAAGTCATCAGGCTGTTTATTAGTAATATTCAAACTTTTAATCAGTCCATCGATGTTATTAAATGATAGAGACCATCCAATAATGGAGAAAAATGCTGAAATAAATCCCAACCAGCCCAAAATCACAGATCCAGTATGGAGTGAAAAGCAGAAGAATCCATTCAGTATAAAGTGAGAAGACGATGGAGGCATTTTAATTGGATGCAAGTGATGCGTGAACTAAAATATAAAAAATTATTATGTGCTGATGACTGATAAGGATAATAAATAAATCGTAAAAAAACATTTGAAAAATGTCATTAAACGATGACAAAGCAAATATAAAGGCTGATATTCTAGCCAATAAGCATGTTTCTTCATGATTCATATACGTAAAATAAAATAATTACGTACTTGAGATATAATCGATAAAAATATTTTAATGCGGAATAAAAGAATGCCCAAAAAATTTAAGGCTTTCTACTTACATTTATGAATAATTAATTGACTTCCTCACACTTCCCGTATGCTAATAATAATTAAATTCACAGATAAGCTGATAAAAATGATGAAAAAATCTCTCTACATCCAGCAATTTCTAATTAGTTCTTTCGCTCAATCCCGACTGACAACTACTCTGCTTCTTTGTTTTTGTTTTCGTTATAATATACAGGCACACAGGGTGATTCAATTCCATATGATTGTATACATGTATTGTATTACAACGAGCTAAGTTGAAAATGAAACCTTAAAAGTGCAGCACAGATTATTGAGAAAAAGAAACATTTTTCTCTAGAAAGTTATATTTTATTTAAGAAGTATTAAAGAGTAAATTAATTAACATAATGCCTTTAATTCATGCAATTGCCAAAATCTAGTATAAATCTACTTTAAAATTTATGTTAGAATGATCAAAGCGTTTCATTTTTCACTATGTTGCATCATCATTAGGCTCGATTAGTATGTTAGTTAAACCTTTGCGGCTAGTGCATTTACAGCCTCCTTACACTTGTCTAACTCATCAAAATCAATCACCATCGACTTTAGTTTATTGCGAAAATTTTTAATGCGCTCAGAACCCAAGCTAATTCCACCGTGTTTAATGCTGTGTCGTGCATGAAGCGTTAAAAGTTTAAAGCAATCTTTACGAATTAAGTTATGATTAGCTTCATCCCAGATTGGAAGTCCTCGAACATATGTCCATGACATCATTACGTAATCGACAAGAGCATCAAAATGCTGAGAGTCTCTTAATACTTTACAATGATTGATGATTGCCCTAAAAGAATTTCCTCAATTTTAATTTTTAAATCTCATGGATCAACGTTATTGCTACTGGCTACATGTAACATCCTACAAAAAAAAAGTAAAGCATACCTCTTAAATGCCGTCAAATGAACAGAAGCTCTAGAAAATGCAGCACCATCAGATTTACTCTGTATCGACAATCTGGATCGAGGAGAGCTCTTAGTGATATTTTTCCGTAATTCACAAAGTTCCTCCTCATATGGTCTAATATCAGGAAGTGGAAGATTATCGCGAATAGTTTTCTCTATTTGTAAATCCTTATTAGACATTCCAGAGATGATTTCAATCAATTGATCTTGACTCAGTCCTTTTAATAGTGTCTGTAGAGATACTTCTGGATTTATTGCATTCATTGGACGATCTTCAATGAATTTAAGTCTCTTTGTAGGTGTGGCATATGGAGTTGATGAACATGCTGAATCTTGATCATTCTGAGAATCTGCGAAAATTCGCTTACGTGGTGAATTGCGCAGAACCATAGAAGAATTGTTATTATTACTGAAGAGCTTCTTAGCTGGTGATGGCGATAAAAGTGACATATGAAGTGTATTTTTAGTCGGTGTTTTAAAAGGACTTTTTATCGGTGACCAGCTAATTTTTGAGGGCTTCTTTTGTCTTCCTCTTTGACGAATCACAATTTCATCTAATGAAGGAATAGATGAATTTAGATGCTCTGATAAACTATTTTCAAGTTGTGCTGTTCTAGGTGTTAGAACTCGTTCATCAACAGTCCGTCTACGATGAACAAAATCATGATCATCCACTTCTACATACTCTACTGTATCGTCCATATTAGGATCTCGTTCAATGTGTAGTTCCCTTAATGCCATTTCTATAAGTCGAGAGGTATTTGATGGCTGAAGATTTATTCTTGAAAAATTCATGTTTTTGTGCTTACTTTTTTCCTTCTTTTATTTGCAATCAATAGAAATGACACTCTTACATCATTTTACATAAACAAATGTAATTAAAACTGTTTTCAGACACTTAAAATTAATTAAATAATTTTCTTACAATCAAACATAAATTTTTCAACGAAAAGTAAACAACGTCAAATTTTGGCGCAAAATAGTGAAGTCTGCTTGACATTTAAGACATATTCGCACCGACTATTTTGTTAATTTATAAGGAATAATAGTGAATTAATAGGCTAGATACTTCGGTGTGAATACATAAACTTTTGACGTATCGTTTGTTGACATTTTCTGTCAAAAATAGTGAAAATATTAAATAACATTAAAGTTAATTAAGTTTTATCATTACGAAATCAGAACTTATTACTACAAAACATATTATTCATCATTCAAACCTAAGGAAGCATTAATAAGTGAAAGAAAACCCGAGTTAATAAGTTTCCCGCACAAAAATTCAAATTCAGTACAGACATCCATCAAAAAGTTAAAGCAACACACATCAAGTGCAACAACAACATAACAGAGCAAGTAAAAAAACAGCATAAACATAAATTTCTCAGTCTCGCATTTACATCTCAGCTGTGCGGTCGGTAAAATATTTATTCCGGTTTATTTTTGTCACAGTTCCTTTTTTAAAACAATTTAATTGTCTGTAATTGATTTGTGTCGCGAGGAATTAATTCTGGTCTATTTCGAGATTCGGAGAACATTTAGTGATTTAAAAAGTATAGAAAATGTAAGGAAAAATAACTTTAAGACATTTTCATAAAGAAAAAGAAAACATACAGTTAAATTAGATAACTAGCGATTTAAGAAGAGCAACATAATTAAAGTAATTTATATTCATGGATATTTCATAATTTGCTACTGCATTATTCATATATATACTCGTCCAATACCTATAAAAAATAAACAAAAAAGCAGCACTATATTGTTGAAATATCTCATGTATGAAGAAGACATAAACGGCATCAAAATGAATTAACAAAAATATAAAATTATAAAAGAAATTTCTCTTCCAATATAGCAACAAACAAAATTTCTTTGACACATATATGTGTATTGATGGCTTCAATAGCAAGCACATTATTTCGCACATATTTCTCATTGGCAACAAACAAGCTAATAAGCAAATGTTGCTCCGTGAAAACTTAAACTTCCTACTCCTACCTACCTAGCATTTGTAGCATTTTTCATGCATGCTAGACTATTAGACGGCTTTGTAGATCTTTTCTTGTACAGATCGCTTTTGTGTTTGCCTTTTTTTTTTGGCAATTTGTAATAACTGTGTCATTACGCGTACGTCTTAAAGCATGTATAAAACAATGTAGCGTTTTGGGCAGGTTAACAGCAAATTTTAAAGTCAAAGTATATGGCATACGACTGAGTGATTTTTATATTTAACAGTGTGTACGAAAGTGTGTAAAAAAAGTATTAATGATTCATTCAAAATGTAAGAAAAAATGGAAAAGAGAAAAGAAAATGTTGCACATACAAACATAGTGAAAGTCTCTAAAATATTAAAATATGAATATACATATTAATAGCCGTGTGATGGAATGATCGATTTATGAGTTCAGAAAACAGACAATGAACTAAAAGAAAATATCCGATCTAAAATGAGCAGAAATCCCTTTAAGCATGCTATTGTAGTGTGAATTGAAAAATTTATGATTTATTGGATGTATGATCTACATGGATTGTATGAGATTTTTGCTAATTTATTCTGTTTTCTGATTGTATGTCTTAAACAAGATTAATTATAAGAACGAATAACTTAGCCATCTGACCCAGTTCTATGTAGAATTGTTAAAACGATTTTAAAAACAGCAAAAAGAGTACCCGAGACATATCAGATATAAACATATAGGAAGACTGTAATGAAATCTTTATCTTCAAAATATATGATTTTATGTTTTCTGGATCATAAGCGATCAGAAAAGTTTCGAAAAGAGCATAAGAGGTCATACCAGGTCATACTTTAAACCTTCGTCCTACTCAACTTATTTTTTTTTTTCATTTTAATTGCACTTTATTGCATTTATTGACGACATACTGTCCGGAAATAATTCACATTTTACACTTTTGTATTTGTATACATATGAATTAGTATTATGTAGGATCAAACTTCTAATCTTCATATCTAGGTTTCAAATAAACTAAGGCTCTCGTTTCGATCTTCTGTAGGCGTTTCGTGATACTTTTCAGGTCCGTTCTATCAATATTCCATTCGTGGGTAATCTTGTAGCTCTCGTTCCTATTTCTCCCGCTACACTTCAAGTTCCTGACCCGTTCCTTAATCCAACGTTGCCCAAATGCCCAATTATGGCTTGATCTCGTACATTAAGCAGTCGAAGTATCTAAACTTCGAAAGAACAAATTTGGAAATGGCTGGATTCGAACCGACGATCTTCGAGTTACCATCCCAAATTTAAGCCAAGCGCCTTAGATTATATGATATAAATCATGCAGGAAAACCTGTAATATTTTTCTGGACGGTGGGTGTCATTATTTTTGGGACCTTTTCCATAACAAAACTGAACAAACCCTAATAATTTGCTAAACTGATCATGTCTTTAAATCTGTTCCAAGCCAAAAAAAAATTACCACAAAACAATTGACTGCTGAACATGGCAGATGAACTCAGCATTATTAATCAAAGATTTACATCCTATTTAAATAAATTAATTTAAGTTCAAATCAAATAATATCAATCTTAATTCATTTTAATCATTTGGATGAAATTGATGAATTAGATACATGAACAATTGTTGTGTGAATTGTTAGTAAAGTATCTGTTTGATCTATTGATATACACCCAAATCTATTCATCTGTTTTGGGATTAGTTCATTAACTGCGTGGAATAAACAAAAAATAGTAATAGAAACAGCATGAAAAGTAGAATAAATGAAATTATCTACACATAAAGAGAAGTGCCTAGTCTGCAAAAAAATAAAAAAAAACTTAACATTCGACTTACGTGACCTACTAAAATTGCACAATGTGAATTCAGCTGTCTGAAACGATTTTTCAAATGTTTAATTTGTTTGAGTCTAGATTGTTAGACTGTGAATTTTCTCAGGATTCAAATTAAGTACGGAAAAAATTATCATAAAAGATTACTTGAAGAAATAGAAAACATTTTAATAACTATAGGCAGTAATTAATTGAGAGTTTGAAATTTAATGCCTTTAACTTACTTCTCATCTGAATAATTTCTTATGAAATCGGAAATATTTTTGACTAGGTAGCTGAATAATTTTTAATTGAACATTACAACAATAAGCACATAAAAATATTGAAGCATAAGCGACAAATGTGTATTTTTTTACCCGGCGTTATTAGTAAACATTGTAATGAATGTAGAGCTGTCAAAATAGGCTGTTGATAAGACATTAATTTAGGGCTTGTTTGATTTAGATAAAAGGAAAACAAACAGTCAGGATTTTTTTTATATTAATTATTGTGAATTACGTCTCTTTGAAATTTATGGTTTTGCAAATATTCTTTGTGTTTCGACTGAATCACATGTCAAAGAGTCGATTCATGACAAGTAACAACTGTATTCACTTTCGTTCTTTGCTAAGTTAGAATTCTTTACATCTGACTCATAATCCAAACAACTTTTAGCTCGAAATTGACAAAGACGTGTCAAAATAAACTAATGTACAAAGCTTAGTTGTCACAATGTCTCAAATATTGGCAGAAAAATCTCTTCAAAGATTACATCCCTCAAAAAAATGCTATCTTAATTCCATGATCATCTTAATGACTCCTGACTAGGCTTAAAGTTGTGTAAATTTGCGTATGCTAATGCACCTTTGTTATTTGCTTTTATTAAATATTAAATAATAGCTTGATGAGTTCATGATGCGGTTTGACAACAATTGTTTGTAGAAACTGTCGAAATGCTTTAAAAGTTAATGGAAAACACTGCTTGATTTTTTACCACGTTTTTTTTTGTTGTCTTTATTTTCAAAGAAGATTCATTGTTGATGTCCTTGGTCGAGTCAGAAAAATATACAGACTCGACATCGCAGCATATTTTTACTACTGTCATGTCTCGGTCTTGAAAAAATTGTTGCGTGTGAATTTTATTATTTTACTATTTTTTTTTCATAAAAAGAATTAAGTATCGCTCAGAGTCTCGATGATTATAACAAATTTTCGGTTATGAGAATTAAAATACCAAAATTATTATAGAAAATAATTTGCAGAGATTTAGAGCTACAAGCAACAATATTGTTTTCTATCTAGTGACTCGTTAATTTACAATTTTTGAAAAAAATTATAGCGTAACAAATAGTTTTGACATTCAAGTGGCAGTAAAATGTACGTACTGTTGACAGTTTTGAGTCGATAATTCTATGTTCACTTTGTGCTTGTTTACAGCAATAATTAGTGTGTCATTTAATTCTTCAAATAATTTTTGTTGACTAAATTAAGTTGGTAAATAAACATCCCTGACTATTTGAATAGAACTGCGATAAGAAGTGCAAATAGACGAGCTATTGCTTATTTTTTGTGAAGGAACTTAATTTCGAGAAAAACACGTATGCGAATTAATGACTTTAAATCTGCTAATTTGCTTTATCTTGTATTCGCAAATGGAATCATGTCATCTTTTATATACAGATGTCAATCAAGCTATTTATGAAGGAATTAAGAAGAACCCGCTAAAATGATGAATAAGCATCTTTTTGATACATACTAAGACTTTATATAAGATTGTTATTAAAGAATACTTTGGATTACATGAAGAAATACTTAAAGGTCTTTCAACTTGAGTGATTCTAGCTCAGTTATGGCGGAGAAATAAACAATAATATTTTATTCCAACCGTAGAGATAGATGAATTGATTTAAGATGTAAAAACAACATTTTTGTGTTGCTATTGCCTATATTATTAGTCACACAGTTACGTACATAGTATGCTAGTAACATTGATATCTATATAAACCAAAAATTTAACCTACCTTGTAGCTGCAAAATCCATTTGATAAATACTTAATTAAAGTCACTCAATGAATAGTTTGTGAGTCACGGGCATTGAAATTATTCACACAAAACAGACAATCATCTGTTTTTGGGCAAAAACTTATTATGAAGTCTCAATTAAGTTGTCGATGAGTTTTTGAGAAGGTCCCGAATGAAATTAGATGCTAGCTTTGTCTCTTAAGATATTTTATTGCACTTGCTACCCTGAAATTATGCTGGATCACACTCATTTTAATCAGTCAACTGTAAGACCTTCCTACTACATTATTTATTGTGCAACTGTACTGAAAATGAAGTTGTCCTTGGTATAATCTGTCAAACATGAGAAGAACAACAACACATAGTGCAAACAGAGACAAATTGAGAACATCATTGAGTCGTGATACACAAATTTTTATCTTTAGAAGCAAGAAAATGTATATTTTTATACACCGAACAGCACATTGTGTGCTATTTTATCAGCCTGTTCAAATGAAAATCTCAAGAATGTAAATATTAAGAAGAAAAAAAAAGCAGAACGTGATCATCTTGTTATACACAAAAGAAACTGTTATTCTCTCTTTCAATTTTCCTCGCTTGATGAAACAATTTACAATCTCTTTCGCAATTTTTCGAGTACTTGCTTGCTGCTGCTGTTCAATGATGATCATGATGATGATTGCTATTTCATATTTTAATATTTCTCTTTTTTGTGATCACAGTTGTTGGCTATATTATATGATTTCAAGCCGGTAAAATGCCACATAATTGTAGCAATTCATTCCATCATTTTTTTTTTCTCGTATTGAAAGAAAGAAAATTGCTTAATGTGGGAAATACAATGGAGTTGCCGAATCTCTTTTTTTTCTCACACATATTTTCAAACGTTTATCAATTTACAAAATAATGTGAAACTTCGTAAGTGCTTGTTGCACTTTTGAATTGCTTTATTATTTTCATTACTAAGGTGTCAACTCGTTGATTCTAACAATGACAGTCGAAGCGATAACTTAGTTATATAGCAAAATCTTCATCACCAGATTATCTCGTGATCCTAGGTGGCACAGCCTAAACTTTATAGTAGCTAGTCAACAGACATTAGTGTCACCAGATTCAACAACAATACAGTTTAGTCATGTAGATTTAATTGCTGGTTAAAGAACTGACCAATTCACAAAATTATACAACAACCTACAAAATTACTTTTATAAGCGTCACGTAATTGGAAATTGATTAATTGACCGTAAATTATTTGACCATTTAAGAAAAGTTAACTTCATACGATCGTGCATGGATTGACTTACAAAAGATAAATGGAAATCCATTGAGAAAAATCAACATCAACAGTGTCAAAAGTAAATTCATTAGACATGATGTTTGTTAAGTGAAATAAGCGGAAGGGAAATTTTTATTCATCGAGTGGGAAAATGACATTTTTTCCCTTAACAACTTCCGTTGATCATGAGATTTTTGCGATAGTTGTTATTATAATTCTCTCATGCACTGAACGTGTATAATGTAAACATTAATTTTATAATCATTTGAAGCTCAACGCTCCTCCCTCTCGATACTTTATTCCCTATCTTCTTCGAAATGATCATTTATAAAAGATGATGATTGTAATATGAGAAGCTTTTAGATTTCATAAATGGAAAGTGTAATACGAAGATGATTACTTATTTATCATGAATTATGCTGTGAGTAACGCATTTTTTGGATTCCTTCGTGGAAAATTAATGATTCTTGAAACTAGATGACTTTTAAAAACACCGGTTCTATTGACATCATTTACATATACAAAACTTATTATTTGAGGAACTTATGTGAAACGCAGTGAAAATAAAAATAAAATTTTTTGTAACATTATGAGTAGGGTGACCATCTCCGTAGTTTTACAACGGACAGTCCTGTATTTCAAAACCCTGTCCTGTATAAATTTGAAAATTTTGTTCGAGGTCCTGTATTTTTTTTACGAAAATTTCCGTTAATTTTCAAATTTTCCTTTGTGCTGTATTTTTTAGGAAATTTATCAAATGTCCTGTATTTTCATAAAAATTAGATGGTCACCCTAATTATGAGAAGCATAAACAAATTAATCACGATAATTAAATTATCATCACGTTCATTATCTTCCTTAAGTGGAAACAGGATGTAATCAATTAACGAAAAATTCAAATTGTTTGTAAGAGGATGTAGGGTCGAAAGTTAATGCAGCTTTAATGTTGAATAAAGAGCTCAGATATCTCAATCATTAACTTTTCATTCCACCACAATTAGTCGCGAAATTGAAGCACATCAACAGTGTTTTTTTGTTATCGTAAAAATTGTTGAATGCTATTATTTTTATCAGCTTTGTGGACAGCTTGTTGATTTTAGTTTGGAAAAAGTATAGACATAGAGCACTTGGGAGTAAGTTGAGTTGAGGCTTTTTTTACATGTTTAAGTATTAAGAGAATAGTTTTAATATTATGAGTCTTGATGTGTGTAACTTGCTTGATCAGCTCAGTAAAGTCATAACATGATAATCTTAAACAATTATTCAGAGATAAAAATGAAGTAAATTCAAAAAGCTTGAAATAATGTAATCTGAACCTGAATTCTTATTTAGATTACTAATTTAAACAATTTCTCATGTTGCCAAATAAATTGAGTCTAATTCACTAAGTTGTGAAATCTAAACAAAAGATTTAAGCTAATACTCACAAAACACAACACAAAAGAATCTGATAAAAATCCTTAAGTCCACCTTGAATCTTACTTTAATTTGCATTTAATTGCTAATTTTCTGGAGATAATCTATTACCTGTTTGCTTGAGATTCTTTAAATCTTTGAAACCATTCAAAACTTGATTTGCATCATCATTTCCTCGTAATCCACGTCGAAACAGGATTTTAATTGAAATGAACATTTTATTAAGAGAAAATTGCACAATAAGCACATTTAAAGAATATTCTAGAAGTTAAAAGCTTGGCTCTTCAAATTTTAATTTCAATTCTGATTGTTCAACCGTACGAATATTCGTAAATAAATAATGAGTTGAGACAAAATGAGTCACGAGTGGCATAATTGAGTAAAATACTGAGAATGGAATAATCATCATCAATACTTTAATGTGTGTCTCTTCATTCTCTAGTTACCGTCTATCGCGTAAATTACTAAGTAGAAATTAAATTTTTTTATTAAAAACAATCTTCTCCCTTTTCCAGAGTGATATTAGCAGACCAAGATGGTGCTATTCAACAAATGTTGTTGCGTTTTTCGCTTGGCTACAGGTAAATGTCAAGAATTTACTCATTTCCTTTATTCATCATTTTTATAATTTAATTAATCATGAATTTTTTTACCTAAGGTGGAATGATTTTGGGATGGATTGGAGCAATAGAAAGTTTAGTCGTTGTTATTCTCACGACAATTGGCCTGACACATGTACCTGAAATAATGGATCATTTGCGGAATGAAACAAGAATGCCATCGCTGAAAATGGAGGCAATTAATGAGACACATGTTTCGCTGTTCCAAAGACATCGAGGAGAAATGACAACGGAAGACGAAATGTTTATTGAAAGAGGTAAATGGATGATAAGTTAATTCTTCTTGACAATGTTTTTTTTTCCTACATGTAGCTACAGTTACGTTTAGTTTACTTTCTGTATATGCACATATTCCAAATACATATTTGATGCGTGTTTTAGCAGCGTATTGTGAATATTAAAGCAATGAATGTCTGGCAAGACTTAGTCTTTATGGAATTAAATTAAATTTGCAACTGCCATTTCAAATTTAAATTTTTGAACTCCCAGTCTATTCCATAAATTTTAAAATATAGATGACAGTTAAAAGTTTACTAATCACAAAAATCATTTAGCAATTGCTGCTCAAATACGTCGTAAACAGTGTTTTATCTACTTCAAATGATCTTTTAACTCATTAATTTACTTAACTAATTTTATTATTATTTATCTCATGCAGGCATGTATGCAATTTTAGCATTGAATCTGATTGTGAATGTAGTAACATTGATTTCATCGTTGTTGTTAATAACTGGCTCAATTAAAGTAAGTCACGAAGCTAATGTCAACAGTAGCATGCAACCATGACATTGACTTTTAATTTCTATTTCTATCAATTTCTTTTCTCTCCTTCCTCTCATTACAGCGTAATTCTAAGTATCTGATTCCATGGCTTATTTGTGAGGCGTTGTGCTTAATATTCAGCAGTTTCGCAGCAATTTCAAAATCATTCGAGATGGCACTATATAAGGAAAGTGTAATTGAAGGATTTGGAACGATTTTAGTGATTTGCTTCTTTGTTGGCATTGAAGTCTACTTGTATCTATGCGTATATTCGTTGTATCAAACGCTCAAAACAGAAGAAAAGAATCAGCGACAAATGCAAATGAATGAAATTAATCAAGCGACACAGAAAGATCACCACGATGGATTACCTCCTTACAATAAACTTTAAGTTTGATAAAATAGTTGAAACAGAAATACAATTAAGATGTTTTTGGGACATGACGCACATGGCCTAAGTTTTTATGCGTTATTGCATTATTTAAATCCATTGTAATTTTTTTAAAAAATCCAGTATGGTTAGATCTGTAGATTATTATTATTATTTTATTTGATGTTTTGTATTTTAAACCAAATCACGATAAATTTGTCAAGTTCATGAAAAAAAAAATGTGCTAAATTTGTGCATGTTTTATGATATAAAATATTTTAAAAGTCAAATAAAAATGAAATGTGCTTTAATTTTTATCTTGATATAAATAATACCCGTGCAATTAGTTATTAATATGATTTTCAGCTATATCACGCCAATCACGTTGTTCTAGAATCTTAAAATTCTTAATTTTTATCTTTTATAAGCCTGTGTCTATTTTAGGGGGTACGCTTATAAAGGAAAAAATTAACCGTCAAAATTTGAATTTTACATGAAACAGCTGTTCAAAGTAGTGTTGGTGCGCAGGGTGTGAAGTTGCGATTGAAACGTTTATTACTTTGTTTACTTCTTTTGCAGAGCATTTTCTTTAAATTTAATTAGATTTACGATAGAAATAAAGCTAATTATACTAGTTTCTAAGTGATAAAAAGTGAATCAAAATTGTCTCATTAAGTGCTGCAAGAAAAACTGTCGGAATTTTGCTGGAATTAAGAATTAAGGAAATACAAAATTAAATTCATTAAAAATGTTTCCACAAAGTAATCAATCAAATCCAATGAAGGATATAGAAGTTACAGCACCACCAGACGACACAATATCAGCAATGAAATTCTCACCTGCAACGTCTTTACCTAAAAACTTTTTGCTCGCTGGAAGTTGGGATTGTAGTGTAAGATGTTGGGAAGTTGCTGATACCGGTAATATTGTGTAATTAATTTAACTATGTAGAATATCATTAAGAAATTTGATTCGTAGGATCAACAATTCCAAAGGCAATGAAAACAATGACTGCACCTGTTATGGATGTATGTTGGCACGACGATGGTACAAAAGCATTTATTGCAGGAGCTGACAAAACAGGAAGAGTATGGGATTTAGCAGCTGATCAAGTCATGCAAGTTGCAGCTCACGATAATACTGTCAAGACATGCCACTGGGTTAAGGCACCTAATTACTCATGCTTAATGACTGGTTAGTATTTTTGAGATATTTTATTTGCTCAGTGTTGTATAAAGTTGTTCCTTTAATTTTCAGGAAGTTGGGATAAAACGCTAAAGTTCTGGGATTTACGACAACCGAATCCTATTCTACAATTTGCATTACCTGAACGCTGTTATACAGCAGATGTTGAATATCCAATGGCCGTTGTTGGAACTGCAAATAGGCATGTCATTATATATTCTCTCGAAAATCAACCACAAGAATATAAAAGACACGAAAGTCCTCTAAAATATCAGCATCGTTGTGTCTCAATATTCAATGATATGAAAAAGAAAGCACCAGCTGGATATGCTCTTGGATCAATCGAAGGACGTGTAGCTATTCAATATCTCAATCCTGTCAATCCCAAAGATAATTTCACATTTAAATGTCATAGAGTGAATGGAACTGCAAATTTCCAAGATATTTATGCAGTCAATGACATCGCATTTCATCCTATTCATGGAACTTTAGTGACTGTTGGATCTGACGGAACATTTAGTTTCTGGGATAAAGATGCAAGAACTAAACTTAAAAGTTCAGAAACACTCGATCAATCAATTACAAAATGCGCGTTTAGTGCTAGTGGACATATTTTTGCATATGCTATCGGATATGACTGGTCAAAGGTAAATTAAAGTATTCAATTTTGTTTATATCTGCTTATTCTCAACAAGTGGTTTGTCGAAAATTAATCATATGTTCTTTCTTATTTACTTCTCAGGGTCATGAATATTACAATCCACAAAAGAAAAGCTACATATTGCTGCGTTCCTGCTTTGAAGAACTCAAACCGCGTCATAACAATTAAAATTTCAGTTGCTTTCTTAAGTATACATAACAGATCATTGATACAACAATATAAAAATTTTCAAATAAATTAAAAAGTCAAAAAAGAATCTGGTTTTAAAGCCGCTATTATTGTTTTCAGGAGGTAGTCGGCGCATTTTCTTTTGACGGATCAGTAAAATGAAAGTGAAAAGAAGTCAAAAATATCGGTTTTTAAAAATTTAAATTTTAAAACTTAACAAATTACACTAAAAGTTTATATGGGATTTTCGCTACTATAAGCCTGTTTAAAGGACCTATAAAAAGAAATCCTGAATGTGTCAAATCGTTCCTTCAAAACACATGAATCCAAGGAAATAGAGCAAAAAGACGATAAGTAGTCGCTCAAGTTTGTTTGTTGCGAGTGTGTGTGATGTGTGAGCGGCGAGAGAATGGCTAGTAAAAAATGGTTAAACAAATAATTATGAAAGAAAATCTCAATTTTCAGCCTTTGCGAAAATAAGAAGTAAATTTTTTTTATAAAGTAGCGAAGTAGAAAAGTTAATTGCCAACAGCGGTTATAAAAATAGCACCAGAATGCTCCGAAAAAAATGAATATTTTTGTGTTTTTTATTTCAAAAATTTTCATTTTCCTTTCATTCCGTCATTCGTTATCTTACACTTTAGGTCTTTTTCCTTTTCTTATTCAGTCTGTAGTGCGAAAAAAATTATTATTTTTAATTATTGAGAATCGACACGCGGACTCAAAATGCTGACAGTGAAAAAGTTTGGAGCTGCTTTTAATCTATCCTATGGAGGATATTTTGCAGCTTTTGTTGGAATTATTATAGCTGCAGTAACCATCGTTTTGATTCCCCCAGACATTGATCTTGCTGGCAAGTGTTCAAGACATAATAAAGTCTTTAATTATTTTCACTCAATTGTTTATTGATTAATAATTGATAATAATTCAATCATAGATGATGATGATGGAAATTCAACCGTAACGAAAGTGATTGCATCGACTATGGCGACTATTTCTGGAACAACGATTGATCCAACTCCTGATGACGAGGACGATGAAATTCCAGAACATGAAAAAAAGGACGAAATTAATGATAGTAAGTAACTTAATTACTTCATAAAAACTGTGAAAAATTCAATGAAGAAAATCTGTGAGAAAATATTCATAAGTAAGTAAGCTGTGGATGTTTAAAAACGCATTCCTATTGACTTGTCTAATGAATGTTGAAAAAAATCATAACGACTTTTAAAATTTCATAAATTGACGGATTTAAAGAATTTAAAATTTTGAATTTAACAGTGATTGAACTTTTTGTTTAAAAAGTTTCTTGTAAACGGTTTTTCATTACTTAAGCTTTGATTAAGATAAGGGGCCATTCACTTATTACGTAACGCTTTTAGGGGGAGGGGGGGCTCTAAGATTTTGTTACGGTTCAAACAAGGAAATTTTTTTTTCATACAAATTTTGTTACGAGGGGGGGGGGGGGGTCTAAAAAGTCATTTTTTCGCGTTACGTAATAAGTGAACAGCCCCTAAGATGTGCAATGATCAAAAAAAATACAGCATAAGAATGTACCCAAAAATTCACCTATCTCTTTAATCATCTCTATTTTTGAACATATCATGACATCCACTAGACAAGACAAAATGAAGCTTCTTGCACTTTTGCTATTATCCTCTTAAAAAAATAGAAGGAAGTAAAAAGAATCAGAGTAGCTAGAGATGAAACTTATTTTGTCTTGCCGTAGAGAAAAATAGAAATTGAAAATATTTATATATTTATTTTTATTTCAATTTCGATACGTAGCTCTTCTAGGCGTTAATATTACATTGATCTTCTTTGGATGGCTTCTTGTCATTTCATCAATCTTATTGGCTTATGCAACCTTTAAGAGACAATCACGATTGACAATTCCATATATATTCGCAATTTTCGAGACAGTCCTTCTTGTCATTTTATTGGAAGCACTGCCCGAATTTATCGATAATCTCGGTGTTGGCTGGTTCTTGTTAATCAACTTTTTAATCGGTATGTGTCAATTGATTTACAACTAGATATAAATTATCAACGATATATTAACACTTTTTTTTCTTATTTATTTCTGCTCTATTAATAGCATTGACATCGTATTTGATAATTGTTGTCTATTCGCTCTATTGTGAATTCAAAGATGAAGAACTGAATCGTCTAAATTTGTAACATTAAAAAATTTCATCTCTTTCAAAAAAAAAAGGCATTTTCGTACTCATCATTTGTTATGAAATTTATTTAAAAATTTATGCATTATAAAATTTATTCATTAATGATGTTTTAAGTCATGAACTCGGACTAGTTTCATTAAAATAAAATAATAAAATTAAAACAAGCTTTTGCATGCCAAAAACACAACGAAACTAATTATGAGATTATTAAGTCAGTGCCGTAAGCAGATTTGGAACATAAAATGGTATCAACAAGTTTCGCTAGAGTAGGGTTTGGGGAACCTGTTAACAGAAAACAGAAAAACAGCTGTTTTTCGATAAAAATCTGTTAACAGAAAACAGGTTTCAAAAACAGATCTGTTTTCTGTTTTTCATTTTTAAAATATAATTTACAGAAAAAAAAATTTCCTAATTTTTTGAAGAACTTATTATAGTTTTCTAGAATTTCAAATTGAAATGTATTTACTATTTTAATATTTTTTGGATGTTTAATAGGTTTGAAATCATTATCAAATTTATGATTAATCATTACTAATGCTGCAATCGAAATTTTAAATTTGTGGAACCTTTTGTAGCATTTACTAAAGTTCAAAAATGATGATGATTTTTGATTTAGAAAGATTTTTTTGAATATTTAAAATAAAATATTAGAGTTTATGGAACTTTTGCAATGCAACAATACAATGTTTCTTAAAAGTATAAATATTTTTTTTTGAATTTTTATATTTCATTTTATTTTATAGAATTAATTAAAGAAAAATTAAGAAATAATAATGCTTAGCTCTATAATGTATGCTTAACTGCTTATAACCACCAAGAAAGAGCCACCAAGAAAGAACCTAAAGGAGAGAAGAGAGAAAAAAGGAATTAAATTCGTCAACCGAAAAGGTTTAATAAATCATACATACATACATACATACCAAAAACTTTCATTATCTTAGAGAAACACTTTGGATAACTCAGTTTATTTTGAATTCTAGAAAAAACAGGAAAACAGCTGTTTTTAAAAATCAAAAACCGAAAACAGACTGTTTTTCAAAAACAGCTGTTTTCCACAAACCCTACGCTAGAGTACATAACAACATAACAAAGTGAAGTCCGCTTTGAAGGGGATGGTTTGATATGCCTTATACCCCCTCCTGCATCAAATATCTATTTCAATAAATACTCACCAGGGGTCACTTATGATGTCCGAAATAAACTGTCATTTTTCAAAAAAGAACAAAGGATTTTGAGGAATTCCTTCCCCCCCCCCCCTTCCTCTTGGACGTCATACGTGAATGGCCCCCCAGAGATCAAACAAAAAGCTGCAAAAACCAACAAATCATCTCATTTTCTGCCAATTTAATGTTCTCAGCAACAAGTATTTTTTAAAGTCGAGAGAACATGAAGAGACATAAATAATAAAGTAATATGCACGCTTGATGATCATTTTGAAAACTAATTCACATAAATGCTTGACTTATCAAAATGATAAGAAAAAGGCATCTGTTCAATTTCAAGACATCATTCACAATTTGTTGAGTGCTGATCTCTTTACGAATTTATTTAATGCTATGCTTATGGAAATTTATATGATGTTAACAGGTGACATCTTGTCTGCATTTTCTCTATCTAGGAATGATTTTCTTTCAGACTGCAAAGATGAGTCTTTTGATATCATCAGAGCATGAATGATGGACATAAATAAAGTATAGTGATTTATGCTGTATGATTCATCAACATAACTTTTTTGAATATAAACCAGACATTCTCATTCGATTCTATCAGTTCAAATTTAAAAATGCAGCTGAGATTATCATTAGTTGTGTGCATTTTAGTGACATTAAGTTTTGCTTTTCCGAGGAATTTTCCGGACAACAATAAAATCCAGGATGAGAAAAATACTGAGAATTTTGTTCTGATTGGAGGGTCATCGAATGAAAAAATAAAGTCTAAAATACAAGATGATAAAAATTTTCGTTCTGGACATTATTATTCTTTAGTTCCGATGGCAATAGCACATACAAAACCAAATTCCGATTATTATTCATTGGCTCCACCACAACATAACAATCATCATCATCCAGCCAACGGATTGATTAACGCAAATGTTCAACTTTTAGAGCCATTCATGTTGGTCACCTTCTTACTATTTGTTCTGAGCTTACTTGATAAGGCAAAAATGATGCCAATATCACGAATTGATACGGATTTTCAGCTTTACGAAGGATACACAAATTTTATAAATGCAAAAAGAAATCAAACAGATTTTTAAAATTATTCTTGTAAACCTACTTTTAGACTGCTTTAAGTACTTAACTAAAGTATTTTCAACTCTTAATAATTTAGCGGATTAGGAACGGTAAATGTTTTTGAAATTTAAAAAGTTATCCAAAAAACAAGCACGTGGAATCAGGAAATTTCAGCTCTTTAAAAAATAAGTTTCAATTCAAGTTTATACTATAATTAAGTCAAAATGAGTTGGATTAATTGCTTGCCAGACTATGTAATGGTCGAAATATTTGAAAACATGACTCCAAAAATGATTAAAAGTTGCTGTTTGTTCTGTAAAAGGTAACACAAACTTATTTCATATTTAATTAATAAATTTTGATTTACTCAAAATGGTGCTTAATAATTTTAAACAGATGGGATGACATAATCAGCACCTCAAAGCAATTAATGGGGAAATATAGATTGAGTTTTAATACATCTTTCGATTATAAGAAGTCGATGCATCTCAAACGGAAGTATCAAGATGTTAATATTAAAATGTTATTTTTGCCATCGTTAAAAGCTATAATTCGCCACAACATTCATACACTTGAACTAAGTTCCCGACCAATACTAAAGCTTTCAATATTCATTCAATTGCTAAACAGTATACCGTTGTTAAAAGTTTTGAAAGTTGATTTCGAGACATTTATTTATGACATACAAAACATCGAGGAATCAATGAAAGTATCAACAAATCTTGAGGAAGTAAGATGTGTTGCTGAAATCTGTCATATTTTCGGCTGTAGCACTATAAAAGTTTTAGATTTGTTCTGGAAAGAAACAATCAACTATAAAGGGAGGTTGTTAATATTTGAGTACCTGAACAAGCAGAAGCATCTTGAGGATTTTAAGTTAAATGAACACGCCAATGGCGAATTCTTTAGATATCAAGCTTCGAATGCTCAAATGTTTGCGTTTTGCTTAAAAATCTTTGTATATTATACCTCTAGATTCGACAAATATCAGCAACTCATCAACTTTTTAGAGCTGCATAAAAATCTTTAGTCAAACTAGATACAGATTTTATTACTGAATGGGAACTGCTGGTTCCAATCGAACAAGTTCAAAAATATATTCTCGAAAGCCTGCTTAATTTGAAACAATTAAAAATGGAGATGCATGTTGAAAATGATATTGAGGAAGAATGTACATTTTTTATGGAAGTAGATGAACCACGATCAGCCACAATTGTCACTAAAAATATTGATTATTTAAATTACCGTGATCGTCATCGTACTCAAGACGAAAATAAGCGATTCATTGACATGTTTCCAAATATTAAGCATTTAAGCTATCATACTCTTCACAAGAACGATTTTCAAATGTTGAACTACATTTGTGCTACAAAAGCCGATTTAGAATTTTTAGAAGTGTTTAATTTTCACGATGACGAGGAAGCATTTACGATTTATTTCCCAAATCTCAAAAAATTAAAAGTATATGATGTTGGTTTTGGCGAAGACTCTTTGTGTTCCTTCATTTGTCGTCATTCAAAAACTTTAGAGGAAATAAACATTTCTAATGCAAATGAAATGACGGAACTGACTGGCAAGAAAATAATCAACTGTAATAATCTTAAACTAATTTCACTTGGAATCAATACAAATAAGTTGCAAACATTTATGAATATGTTTAATGTCATGTCAACTACCGACAAGCCTTTGATGATAATTTTTGGAAAACTTAAATATAAATTTTCCGAAGACAAGATCTTCTGGGATGATCAATTGAAAAGCTTTGTAAAATTGGGTCTAGTTCCAGTCAACTTATAAACTTCTTATTCTCTTTCAATCTGTTTAATGCTTTAAGTGATATTAAGTAAATCCTTGGAAATAAAGATAATTTGCCTTAATTAAGTTATTTTGTTTACTTCCCTACAGAATTTCAGCCTATTGATTCTAAGGCTCGGTTATATTTTTAATCTTGACAATTTATTAATTTTACTAGGCTATCTAGAGGCGCCCGTGGCGCCACTTATCAGGGTATGTAAATAACTGTAAGACGCAAATAACCATAATGTTTTTAATGTCAATCCTACCACAAAACTTCACATGGCCTCACAAACCCCCTCAAACTCGGACCCCCTTAATCCCTCAAAAATTTTATAAATGGCTTCACAAAACTTCACAGGGCTTCACAAACCCCCTCGAACTCGAACCCCCTTAATCCCACTAAAACTTTATAAATGGCTTCACAAACCCCCTCAAACTCGGACCCCCTTAATCCCACTAAATTTTTAATTCCCCCGAAACCCACAATGTCTTTTCACAAAGTTTCGCATGGCTTCACAAAACTTCACATGGCTTCACAAAATTTTATATGGCTTCACAAAATATTCCTGACACCAAACTTTTCCCACAAACCCCCTCAAATTCATTGGCTTCGTACGGTTTCACAAAATATACCTGACACTCCCCTTACCCCCCCCCCCCCCCCCCCCAACCTTTTCTCCCCACCCCCACCCCCCACCCACCTTGTCATCACCCCTCACATCATTGGCTTCATAAAATATACCTGACACCCCCCTTGCCCCCAATCCCCACCTGACACCCACTTTGTCACTCCCCAAACAACTGACACCAACCTTGTCAGCACCCCTCAAATCATTGGCTTCACAAAATATACCTGACACCCCCCTTGCCCTCAATCCCCACCTGACACCCACTTTGTCACTCCCCCCACAACTGACACCAACCTTGTCAGCACCCCTCAAATCATTGGCTTCAAATGGCTTCACAAAATATAACTGACACTCCCCTTACCCCCCGTTCCAGAGTCAGTGAATCAGTGAGTTGGGCTTTTATATATTAGATAACAGTCAATTCAAATCACAGAAGTCATTTCAAAAAAATCAAAAAAAAAAAGTGTTAAAATCAGTAAAAATTGTCTTCCGTCTAAATTATCATTTTTTGTGAGTTTATACTGTAATTTACCAAAATGGACATTATAAATGACTTACCGGATGAAGTTATGATCGAAATTTTTGGATATTTAAGTCCTCACATGCTGAAAAGCTGCAATTTAGTGTGTAAGAGGTTGGTTTGAAAAAAAAAATCACTAATGTAAAATCTTATCTTATATATTTTATTTCATTGATAACTAGATGGGATGACATAATAAGCAGTTCAAAAGAGCTAATGAGCAAGTTTCAATTAGTTTTAACTGATTCTGAAGATTATGAAGATGCACAGGAGTTAAATCAAAATCATCAGAAAATCATTGTCCAAAAATTATGTAGCGAGTCATTAGATACGATTCGTCTATATAACTTGAATACGTTAAAGCTGTGTCACTGCCATGATCAAAAGTTATCGGATCTAGTTAAAGCAATCCGTAGTTTGCCAATGTTGAAGGTATTTATTGCATGGGAACAGAAATTTGAAGATGACATTGCTGACATCCAAAACTTTGAAAAAATTCGCATAAATATGATAAAAATCGAATGTGTATCAGACATTGTTCGCATATTCGATTGTTCTTCATTTACTAAAGTTCGATTATTTTGGAATCATCAGATGTCACTCGAAAAGAAAATGCTTAGTTATAAATTTCTGAGCAAGCAAAAGAACCTAAAGCATCTCAAATTGTCGGAATATCCTAATGACAACTTCTTTCATTCACCAGAGATTTTTAAAAAATTTCAATTCAACTTGGAGAGTTTTGGATGTTTTTTACCATCAGTGGAAATGAAACATTATAAAAATATCATTAAATTTTTGGACTCACAAAAGCAATCATTAACAAAGTTGGATATTGAAATTCAACCACGTGATATGTTCAAACTTGAAGAAATTCAAGATTATGTCCTAAAACATATGTTTAATCTAAAGGATTTGCGACTAGACTTGAGTGTTAAAGATGAAGAAGGTCCTGAAATGGAAGTTCACTTGCAGCCTACACAAGTCACCAAAAATATTGAAAGATTATTCTATAAGGGACCTCAGAGGTCTTCAGCCAAGTGCAAGAGAATTATTGACTTGTTTCCAAATATTAAGCATCTTCATTTTGAATCGGATTATGCTAGGGAATTTCGAGTTCTTAAACATGTCAGCAAGACTAAGAATAATTTGGAATCGATACAATTTCTGTCCTTTCATAGTGATGTTCAAAATTCATATTCAGTTTACTTTCCTAATCTGAAAGAACTGTCATCATTTGCAATAAACGATGAAGATTCTTTTAGTTCCTTTATTTCTCGTCACTCAAAAACATTGGAAAGGATAACGATTGAAGATGTAGAGGATATGACTGAGTTAACAGCAGATGCAATTATGAAATGTGAAAATTTGAAATTCGTTGAATTAGGAACTTGGGCTGAAAATTTATTGGATGTCATGAGTTTATTTCATGACATTTCATCCAGAAATAAGCCTTTAACATTCAGACACTACTTTTTCTCGTCAAAGACAACATTTAAGTTTCCTGAAGATAAAATTTTCTGGGATGAAATACTTGGAATAGAACCAGAAGAAGAAGATTTAGCACCAGAATCGAGTAATGTTCGAGAGTTTTTCAAAGCCATTTGGAATGGCATTAATCGTATTTTTTCTTAATTTCTACTAAGTATGTAGCATTGTTAAATGGTTAAAAGTCAATTTTAGTCACTTAATATTATATTTTTTTTTTGTTATGTAAATTTATTGATTTAAAAGTTAAAACAAGCTTATAGTTATAGCAAGACATACAATAGGAATTTTATTGTCATGCACAAACTTATTAATTGAGTATGTGATTTTGACAAGAATTAAAAATAAATAAATGGCACTTATTGCACTTTAGTATACATCCAAAATTCAAAAATAATCTTGACACAAACTGAAAGTTTTTGGACAAAATTTACGAGCCAATTGAGCATATGCAGCACCGGAATTACAAGCAATTTTCTCATTTTGTGAAAGTTTATTCCAAAAATGAACAAAATAGGATTGTTCAACAGATTGTAACACCTCTATTGCATGCTGTTCCTCGAAAAGTTTGTTCCATTTCTGACCACTTATAGGATAGCAAACATCGTCGTCCAAAACATGAAATCCATTACAGTTTTTCATTTTATTGACATTAGAAGTTTGGCAAAGATCGTTCAGCACCCTAGACAGCATTAACGGACCATTCCAGCCCCACTGGGTTCCATTAAAATTCCTTATCAAATCGTCAATAAATAATTTGCCAATTTTGTTGCCTATTTGATTCTGTAGCTTTAATATAGCGGCATTTAAGAATCCATGATCACGACAGATGAAATTAGATGGCAAGTCTTTTAAATTTTTTCTAACAATCATGTCTGTATCTACGTATGTTCCTCCATATTTAATTAAAATAAGCAGCCTAGCATAGTCAGACGTGTGCTGTTTAACAAATTTCGATTTAAATAAAGTTCCATTTGCTAGGAAGTTGTCATAAAGTGTGTCTGTAGAGAATTGAATCAGATTCATGGAATTGACATGAACATTTTTGTAGCTTAAGATTGTCTCCATGACTGGTGTATATTTAACTTCTTCTAATGTCTTATACGGCGATACGAGAACCACAAACACTTTAGAATTCTCATTCGTAATAGCTGCAGATTCAATAGAACAAGCTTGCCTTAAAGTCAGGTCTCTAGCTTTGCTGGGGTTTTTCATTCTTGTTGTGTCAAGGAAGAAAATGCTGTTCTTTGGAATGAATTCCTTCTTCATGTCTAAAATGTTATCAATAAATAATGTTGATTCACTAACTTTAAGCCTTTGATGCTTCTTTCCTGTTTGTTCTGATGTCTCTAAATTGTTGTATAAAAGAATTAGAGTAAATACGAAAAGAAACAGCAGTATGAAGCTTTTTCTAGGCACATCAAAGGAAAGAATTTTGAATTGATATTGTTGATAACTTATTTTCCGCATTTTAATTTCTATCGTAATGATCAGTTCCAATTGAAGCACAACACTGAATAAACCCTAGTCTAGGTAAAAAAAATTATTGATTCAAGTGTTTCTATAAGCCAGTGATAATCAAGCTTTATTGTCCCATGTTCCTTTTTATTTATTTTGGAATTTGCAATTAAGTCTTATGAATTGTTTTGGAGATGTGTTTGCGTATCGTACAGTATAGCTTGAGAACCCCTGCCTTAATTTTTATTATTTTATCGAAAATAAATTTAAATTTTATTCCAACTTGTAAGCTTTTATGATACCTACAAACACTTTTGTATTTCTTGATTATTAAATTCAATAGTTTTTAACTGTGTACTTACTAAAACCAATATGGTTTGCTATAAAACTATGATACAGTGAGGCTTAATCACATGTTAGGAAACTGAGCATTTTCTTTTAACACTTCATTCGATTGGTCCGAGGAGCTCTCGGGTTGTTCTGTTTTCTTTTTTGGTTTTTGAGCATAACTCAAGCTTTGTTTGTCAAACTCTAATGGCATGATACCTAAATCACCAGAATAACGATTTTTAGCAATCTAGAAAAATATGATCAATTTGATTATAATTAAAAAGCAGTCATTTATATGCTGTAACGTCATTTGCTTACCTGCAAGTATTTTTTACCTCGAACAGATGTCAATCTTTTATCTTGAATTATAAGAACATTATCAGCTTCTTGAGTTGCTTTTGCTCCACCAAAAATGGAACTAGTTGTTAAATCATCGCTGTCCTTTTCTTTTCTAGGATGTATGACTAGTGTAACATGACAATTTTTCTTGGTAGCAAATGTTCTAAAAGCAGCAATAATGACATCTTGCTTATAAAATCTGTCGATATGTTTTGAGTCATCTCCCATTCCCATCATAAATTGTACATTATCAATAATCACGTGGTTGATGTCATGAACATATTGTGCATGCTCAATCGCTTCCATTACAACCTTAACTTGCTGTTCTCCATGAAAAGTCATGAAGTAAATTGGCAGTGCTTCAAATTGATTTGCAAAATTTTCAAATTCTAATAAATTATCTTCAGTTATTGAATCAAGTAAAGGTTTGCCTGCATATTGACGAAGTAAGGTAGTCGCTAATCTAGTATTTCTAATTTCGAATGAACCCCATAAAGTTGAGACACCTTGAATTGCTAAATCAAGTGAATAATCAGACATAAATGTTGTCTTTCCAGATCCAGTTGGTCCTGTTAAAATTGTAAGTTCACCTTTTCGATGTCCCTTTAAATATTTATTTAATGCTGGATATCTTTTCCATTTAACACCTTGCACTTTATCAATATTTTGAAGATCACTCAATACATCTTGACGAAGTGATGAAAATGTGGTTATGGCTTTATGTAAAATTGGCTGAGACTTGCTATAAATTCCTTTAATATCAACGTTACATTCCAAGGCTTTATATGGTGTTGGCTGACTCAATGTTGGTCGAACAAATTTACATCGTTTCTCATCAAGTTTCTTTGCAAAATTTCGAGCTATGTCCCAACCAGCCGTATTGTAATTAAACCATAATACTAATTCATTAAACTGGTCTAAAATAGGAAGACATTCTTGAGGTAAAAATTTGAGACCATAAGGTAAACAGATAAATGTAGAATTAATACGAGTCGTTGTCAATGCTAAGAGATCTAGTATGTTTAAAACTATAATGGCACTTTGCTGTGAATCTTTCTCTTTAATTTTCACTGCCTTTAAATTATTATAAAGTACAAGTCCAGAACAATTTGAATCTGGTATACAGCTTTCTTTCCATTCTCCATTACTGTCAATTTCTACAGTTTTATATCCAACACAATGACCTAGTATATCCAAAAGTGGGACGAATAGCTTATTTGTGTCTGAACAATACCTCGTATTAAGATTTTTAAGTGAACTTTTTGGTATTCTATCATTAATGCCAAATTTGAAAAAGATGTCATCAACATTTTCATCAGTTACTTCATGATAATTGTCCAAATAACTTTTATAGTTTAACTGATCTTTTACAGCTTGTTCTTTGGAATTGTTAAATATTTTTTGGTACGTCTTTAACTCATTGACTTTTTGGGATGATCTTGATTGTAAAAAGAATTTCTCAATCAATCCAAACTTTCCACCGTATTGACAACTTGGGCACAGGAAGTATCCTAAAATGAGTGTTCTGGATACTAAGAATATATTGATTTAATTATATTTTGTTTATTTACCTGTAGTTTTGTTGATGTAAATGTCTCTTGACTGGTTTTCACTCTTTTCACAGACAGGACAGCTTGTTTTGATATTTGTGATTCCATCCTGACAGCTTATATTATTGGATTTAAGTACTCTCTTAATTTGTACAACTGATGTATTGTCTGTATCATCTTTTAAATTAATAAGGAATGGCTGTGTTGTTGAAAAGTCATTTTGATTGATCCTCGTTAATTTTAAATGCCTATTTACAATTAAATTAAACCTATTTGGCAACAAATATTTTGAAAACATGCTAAACAATATTTATATGTGTACAACTCATTATTTTTTTTTAATTTTTGGGTATAAACAACAAAGAAAATACGCGCGTGTTTTTATTTACGTCAGGGCTTGAAAATATCTTTATATTTTTTTTTCAAATTCAAATCCAGTCATGCTTTACGATCGTTAAAATTTAGTATTGTCGAGGATTAACGTTCACAGCTCAATGATTCAGAATCGAAAAAAATGTTCAAAAATTCAAAAATTAAACTTTGACTTTTAAATACCAGATTAAAGATCTTACCTTTATGCATATCCTTTAAAAATATCTCGTTCCTATTTGCTGTCTAACTCCAGAAATCATTTATTTAATCTCACCCAAAATTTGTTTACAATTTGAGTTTGAAAAAAAACTTCGATTTTCTCTACTTTAAGTTGTCATTTCCTTATCTTGCCAGCTGTTGTTAGCTAATTTAAGCTTAGCTTTACATATTTAAACAACCGACTCAATAGAAATCTGCTTATTAAGCCTTAAAAATGGAATTGAAATCTGAGTATTATTACAAAACTTAAACTATTCAAAAGTTAAAAAGTCTTCAAAGACCTTTCTGAAACCTATACAAATCAATTGATTAAGCTTAAATCTATGTCCTATATTACTAAGGACATGCCGTTTGATGCCGTTTTCGAGATATTTGCGATCAAAGTCTACATAAATTTTCATACAAAATTTGATCATGCACAAAAAATCATGTTTATCCTTTATATTAAGGACTGATTTTTTGAGCAATGAACGAAAACATTAAGTAGAAGATGCTAAAAGAATCAAATCAAGAGAAATTAACAAAACTTTCAATTTTCTAATGTGTCGGGAAAATATTGTGCACAAGGAATTTTTGAAGATTTTTTCCGAATCTGAATCATTGTGCACAGGATGAACTAATGTTAATGATGCTTAAAAAATCACGTTTGAATCAAAAGCGCGATCCATTGCTGAGTTCTTCATGCTTTATGGATAATAAACCTATTTACCTGTATGTGCTTCTATTGAGCAATCCTCGATCTAAAGATTGATTCAATTATGAAATGATATAACTCAATATGACTTAAAACAATACATTATTATCTAAAATCCATTTCTTTGCAGCAATTCTTTACAGTACACCATCAAATGAACGCAATTTCAGTAAAAATAAATGCAAAAAGTATAACAGCAAGCTTTGAAAAAAATATTTCACTCTTCAACAATTTTTGACGAGTCAACAATTGCAATGAAAATGTCGCAACATTTTATCCAAATCATATCACATCCGCATCAAATGACCTAAAGATTGAGGTAATATAGAGTGAAAATAAGGGATGAATGATTGTTGAAAGTTTAAAAATCGTTGAGATTGATTTTGAAAACATGTGACAAAAAATTATTGAATCATCTTGAATCAACGATTAGTTTAAGCTTTCAATGGTTCCAGTAAAATTATGCCTTTTGATTTATTTTTTAATCATATCTCTTTTTCCGTTCCTTTCAGTTTCAAATTCGCAAAATGACACGTCTGTACCGTGATTTTAGACATCCTGCTCCAATGAACCTGATGAGCTTAAAATTCAATTTATGGACTGTTTAAAAATTGAACTGAATGATTGGATAGTAAATGCTACAAAAGCATCTTTAAAGGATTCTACAAACTGAATCCAATACTTTGTGAGCGTTGTTAAGAATTTGTCATCTGGCATAACCTTTAAAAGCTAATTGTAAGTAAACTCAACTTTATTTATCCCTATGATTTGAGAAACCACGCGATCTCTTTAATTCTAACACTTGCCTTGCCTTTAATGTTAATTTCGTTTTCTTATTGAACTTTACATAATCAATTTACCTTAGTCCTAATGGTTTTGTCATTAAATCAGCTACCTTGGCCTCTGACGTATAAAAGTCTTTGTCAAATAATTCACCCATTACATCATCATTACTCAACATATCTTTATCTCTGGATTCCAATGCTGTCACTATCATATCATTATCGTCATTCATTTAGAAGTCTGCAAATATCATTGCCACTTTTCTTCATTTCTGCCTTGATCAGTTTCTTATCCAATCTTGTCATACTTCACACGATTGACCAACTAATGTTTTTGTTGTTTTTCAGGATTATGCTCAATCTAATCACTAATCACATTTTAAGACAGTTCCTTCGAAATAAAGAAGGAACTATTGATGCATTTACAAGTTTTGAAAAATACTACAATCATCGTGGTTTAAATAATAAGAAAACAAAATGCTGGTTAAACTTCTTGCTCTAAAGCATGAAGTCAATGATATATATCTTATTATTTTACATATGATCCACCTGGTAAGGAATTGTATTTTTTCTCGCCTTTCATAAAACATTAATGGTTTTCTCTTTAGTGTCACAGTATATGTTTCAAGCCCGTCCAAAAAATAAGAATTTTTTCATCGTCCACATACTGTTAAATGAAGATTTTAAAGACCGAGTAGTCATCAAGATAGATGGATATTCTCAAGTTCCAGCAGTCTTCTTTCGAGCAAGCATCAAAATATGAAAATTCAATTTTAAAGATCAAACAGGTGTGAAATATAATCAAATAAATTATAAGAATGACAAATCAATGAACGATGTAAATGCATAGGACATAACTTATAACAGAGAAAAAAGAAAGAATATGAAAAACGGTGCCTACAGAAAATTGAGAAATATTGATCCAAGTTTAGCCATGTGCAAGTCGAAAGATTTAAATATATGAATGTAGATGAAGCTGAGAGCACAAGTTAAGAATCATGAGCATGTATGAGGAACCACGAAAATACTGTCTAGATCATTCACTAGATTGAAAAACAAAAAATCGTCAGAAGAAAATAAACTACACTCGGAACATATTAAAACTTGATGTTTGAAGTTTAAAAAAGGATTCATTCAGGTATCATTCAAGGCTTTTGCAGGTTCAAGCAGTTCTCAAGTTTTAAAAAAATTGTCGAGTTGGTTCAAGTTGTTAAAACTCAATTTTAACTTTAAGCAAGCATCAAGATTAATGAACATTTCATTCACAGGTTCAAGAATTTTCATTGCTTCGATGGGATCGTGACTTTGTGTAAAGGTCAAGTACGAAAGGATAATGATACATCGCTGAGTCGTTATTTGAAAATGATTAAAATTCATCAAAAACTTCATCCGAAAATTGAGGTATTTTTTTTTTATTTTAATTTCGTTTTTGTGAATTAAAAAGGAGCAAACGCCCCACCGTCCTGCTCAAATTTTTTTTCGGCACTTAGAGTTACAATTTTGTAGCTAAAATGCTTCAAAACCAATCAAATGCTTTAATTTTCCTTTTATTCGTTTTTCTCATCTTTAGTCACTCAAAACAGTTTTCGAAAAGGGAATTCTCAGACATAAGCAATTAGAGGCAACTGAGACAATCATCAAGCAGGAAGCATCGGCAACTTTTCAATGGATTTGATGACGATATAGCCTCTCACGATAGTTTTCAGAATCAATCAGATAACGAAAACATCACAAAACAAGCAATCAACGAAAAAGCATATACAATCTCATCGAGCTTTACAGAGAAAAGATGTTCGAATGCTCAAAGACAAACACAGGCAATTAACGTAAGTAGTGACCAGTTCTAGTTCTAGGCATAATAGTAATCATCAAAAGAGCAACGCGAGCGTCAATTATCAATACTTTCATGGGCTGATCTGAAATCTGCATGTAAAAGACTGGTACAAAAGGATGAGAAGACGTTGCTGAATCGTAATGTGTGATTGAAATTCATCAAGGACTTCAACCGAGAAATGAGGTAATTTTTTTTTATTACTTTAATTTCATTTTGGTGGAATTAAAAGGAGCAAACGCTCTACCGTCCTGCCCAATTTTTTTTTCTGCACTTAGAGTTGTTACAATTTTGTAGCTAAAATGCTTCAATACCAATCAAATGCTTTAATTTTCCTTTTATTCGTTTTTCTCATCTTTAGTCACTCAAAACAGTTTTCGAAAAGGGAATTCTCAGACATAAGCAATTAGAGGCAACTGAGACAATCATCAAGCAGGAAGCATCGGCAACTTTTCAATGGATTTGATGACGATATAGCCTCTCACGACAGTTTTCAGAATCAATCAGATAACGAAAACATAACAAAACAAGCAATCAACGAAAAAGCATATACAATCTCATCGAGCTTTACAGAGAAAAGATGTTCGAATGCTCAAAGACAATCACAAGCAATTAACGTAAGTAGTGACCAGTTCTAGTTCTAGGCATAATAGTAATCATCAATTTGTTTAAACAACCACAGCAAATACCAAAGTTATATTATAAAATAGAAGTTGACGTCAAATTCCAGTTGTTATGTGAAGTCATCAAATGAGTAACGCGAGTGTCTATTGTCAATACTTCCTTGGGCTGATCTGAAATCTGCATGTAAAAGACTGGTATGAAAGGATGAGAAGACGTTGCTGAATCACAATGTGTGATTGAAATTCATCAAGGACTTCAGCCGAGAAATGAGGTAATTATTTTTTATTACTTTAATTTCATTTTGGTGGATTCAAAATGAGCAAACGCCCCACCGTCCTGCCCAAATTTTTTTTCGGCACTTAGAGTTGTTACAATTTTGTAGCTAAAATGCTTCAATACCAATCAAATGCTTTAATTTTCCTTTTATTCGTTTTTCTCATCTGTAGTCACTCAAAACAGTTTTCGAAAAGGGAATTCTCAGACATAAGCAATTAGAGGCAACTGAGACAATCATCAAGCAGAAAGCATCGGCAACTTTTCAATGGATTTGATGACGATATCTCACGACAGTTTTCAGAATCAATCAGATGACAAATCTATCACAAAACAAGCAATCAACGAAAAAGCATATACAATCTCATCGAGCTTTACAGAGAAAAGATGTTCGAATGCTCAAAGACAATCACATGCAATTAACGTAAGTAGTGACCAGTTCTAGTTCTAGGCATAATAGTAATCATCAATTTGTTCAAACAACCATAGCCAATACTAACGTTATATTATAAAATAGAAGTTGACGTCAAAGTTCCAGTTGTTATGTGAAGTCA